TATTATTTTCAATTGGCTTGAAAACTCTTTAATAAATTAAGTAATCAATCATATATTATGTTTATATTTATTTATAATAAAATAAACCTAAAACATTTTTTAAAATTTTTGGCATTATCTGTAATGGTCTTTGAAATTTTATTTTGAATGCAATAATCCTTAGCTATATCTTGTAAATTTTTTGCTATTTTATCATATGTATGACTACCAGTCATTCTTTTACAAGCCAACGCTACATTTTTTCTTTCCAAACTTATTGGATTTATATAATGAGCGGTTACTCCTATATATGAACTAGAAATTAAAATTTATTAAAATTGCTGAATTAATTATTCTTAATTAATTATTATACAAATTGAAATGTTAACTATACCGGCGATAGGCACTCCAACAATCTGCTGTTGTGCATATTAATGATGGTTCTATAAGACTTAATTATTTCTTTCTTTTCATTTTCCCATCTTTGGGAAATTCTACCAACAACTGTCTGTCGGCAAATTATATTTTTGTGTGGAGCCAAAGTGTTGATCATTTTTTTAAAAGAAGGATTTTCAACAATTGAAAATGGCTGCATGCCATCTATAATAAAAGCAATAATTAAATCATCTAAAGTGCCTTGAGTTAAAGTCAAAGGTCTTTTAGCAAAAATATTGATGGAGGATGAGCCTTGTCCAGTATTTTCTTTGGTAGTTTTATTTTCCTTCCCCTTTTTTATTTTTGTTAACAAGGTTGGATGTTTTCTCTTAAAATTTAAATTAGAATTTTAAATATATAATATCTATACCCTTATGTGCTTCAAGATATTGCACGTTGAAGTCTTACTGACGGATATTTTTGTATTTTTAGGTAGACACGGCAAATACCATTAGAGAATTGTTTTCTTTGTTTTGAGATATTATTTTAAAATATTCTCTATAAATTGGCCATGGTAAAGCAATAGAACTTGTTGTTGCTTCCTCTTCTTCATCGATATAGATCTAAATAAATATATAAACTTAAAAATTTAGTTATAAAATAAAATTTACCATTTCCATATTGTAATATTAAAATTTGTATGGTTTATTGATAAACTCGGACATAATATTTAAATTAATGAATATTTATATATATTTTTTATATATAAGTTTTAATATTTTATGTATATATAATTCTTTATTATAATATTAATAAATATTAATATATAATATATATATATATATATTTATTTCATAAGCACATATGAAATAAAATAAATTTTACAGTCAAATATTTTTATTTATAATAAAAAAAGGGGTATATAAAATGTATCTGAAAAAGTATCTAAAAACAGATACAGATACCTCTAAAATAATATCTAGATACAGATACAGATATCTTTCTAAAAAATCTATCTAGATACAGATACTACATTTTTATATCTAGATACAGTATCTAGATACTTGTATCTAGATACTTTAACAACTCTGGATAGGACTAATATCTGTAAATTTAGAAGGGAATGTATTAAAAATTGAACAAAATAAAATATGGGTAGGAACGTGTGCTGGAAGAATTTCATCACCATTTCTCTAATCTTTTAAGTTCCCAACAAAGATATATCAATCATATGTAATTTAAGTTATTTTTATAGTAACCACATACTCCTCAAATTAATTGATGTACGTGTAATATATTAATTTTTTATTTAAGCTGCTAAAAATATTTAGGAGCTTCCCTGTTACAAACTATGGGAAAACATTATTGCAATTGCAAAATGAGTTGCAATAAATAATTTTTTATAATTCTGATTTTTTAAAAATATATATTCAGGTGAAAATATTTATGATTTTATTTTATATAACAAAAACAGAAAATAAAATATCTCTAAAAAATATAATTTTCTGGTGCCAGCCAGACGGCAAAAAAAGGAAGAAAAAAAAATATAATTTAAAAGTTTTTAGAAAATATACATGGGGATTCGGAATATTTTAAAAAAATATTCCGAAAATATTCCGAATAAAACGTGGGGATTCAAGATCTCGAATCTCCATGTTGGGTTTCCGAATCCCACATGATTCCGAGCTGACTACAATTTATACAAAGTAACTGTCCAAAGTAACTAGGTACTCTTAATAAATATATTTAAATAATAAATTTATATTTTTTTACATTATAATATTATACAGAGCTGATTGCCCTGAATTTACTATCCACTTGATACTAATATAATTGTAACCTTCTAAAATTTTATTTAAACACGATATTAGATTATAAAACTTTCTAAAATTCGAAAATAGTGTTTTTATAATTTTATATTTTAATTCTTAATATTTTGCCGATTGTAATAATTTTCTTACAATAAAAACTGCCCAATATTTCGCTTATATAAAGTAATTTTAATATTTAATTATATTTCATATAATTTTTTTCCCCCTTTGACTATGCAGAGCACATAAATTTACAAAAAAATTTATAACATTTTTTATAAATTAATCATATTTAAAAAATTTTTTTTATAAAATAATCATATTCTTTAAATAATTTTTTTTTATAAAATAATCATATTCTTTAAATAAAATTTTTTATAAAATAATTCTCTATAAAACATTCTCTATAAAATCATTCTCTGTAAAATCATTCTCTGTAAAATCATTCTCTGTAAAATCATTCTCTATAAAAACATTCTCTGTAAAATCATTCTCTATAAAATCATTCTCTATAAAATCATTCTCTGTAAACGACATTCTCTATAATTGTTTTCTCTATAAAATAATTCTCTATAAATGACTTTCTCTATAAGTGCATTCTCTATTATTGTTTTCTCTATAAAGGTTTCTCTGTAATGGTTTCTCTGTAATGACGTAGAACCTGATTTTATAGAGAATGATTTTATAGAGAATGTATTTTATAGAGAATTATTTTATAAAGAATTTTATATAAAGAATATGATTATTTTATAAAGAATTTTATATCTATATAATATATTATAGTATATGAAATAATATTAAATATTAGAATTACCTTATATAAGCGAATAATTGGGTAGTTTTTATTGTAAGAAAATTATTGCAATCGGCACAGAAAATTGTTTAGTTACTTCATAAAATATTAATAGAGCGCATCTTTGAGAGAAAATTTAAGTGTTTTTATATCGTTATATTTGATGGCATTATTGAGATTAAATATAAAATTGTCATAATAATATAAAACTCTATTTTAGAATTTCAGAAAGTTTTATAATCTTATATCATATTTAAATAAATTTTAGAAGGTTATAAATATTAGTATCTAGTGGATAGTAGACAGGCTAGCCGGATCAATTAAATTACGTTAAATGGAATATATTATAATATGTTTATATATTAATGTAAAATAAGTATTCATTGGCTAAGATTTAAATCAAATCTGTACAGAGATGTTAAACCATACTTTTAAAAGTAGCGCGCTACCTCTATCACTACCCACGAAAAAAAGTAGCGCGCTATTAGCTTTTTAATAGTAGCTTTGGCTTCTTTTTATAAAAAAATTTAGAAATAAATTTGTTTGTTTTTTGCTTATAATGTAATTCCATAGTGTATAATACATAAAAATCAACATTTATATATATAAATATAGTTAGTTTTGATTATAAAATAATTTAGTTAAAAATACCATAATTTATGTAATAAAATGAACTATTTATGGTAATATTCATTTTTTATTTATTTTGTTGCATTTTAATAATAAAATCTTTCTATACTATCATCCCCAAGTCTAGCGCGACGATCAGAAACTATAAATTTCGTTTTACTAAATAATCTCTACACTAGCACTTGAGAAGAAGGCAGTAATTTATTTTATAAAATATTTTTAATAAAAGAAAAATTGTATTTTAGATTTAAAAAATGCGTCTAGGGAATTTTTTATTATATTAGTTTCCTTTATTTCAAAAAATTTGGAAGTCGTTTTTATGGTTCTAATTAGGACATCTTTGTCTGCTATCTCAATCAGTAGTGAAAAAAAGTTGTTGTACCAGAGGATAGAGTTTTAATCATCATGGTAAATGATAGATTATCAACCAATGACATTGGATGAACTGTATCAATTATAATCGACAATAACTTAATTAGCCAGTTTCTGAGAAATATTGGCATGTGTAATATTTATTATTAATTAATTTAGCTTGAATTGAATTGGTCTCTTTGAATGCAGTTTCCATTATAACAAAATTATTAAAATGTTTTTCTATCTCTTTAACACTGTTACATTCTTACAAAATAAAAATACTATTAAAATTTAAAAATGACAATTACCTTTAGGTGTTTTTTAAGGTTATGGCTACATTTAAGGATATATATTTTTTACAGTTTGAACAAATAAATTTCCAGCTTTTGTTTTTACATTAATTTGAAAATATTTTCAAATTTTGGAAATGGAAAATTTTTATTATTGCTGTCAAGAACATTTTCTTCCAGTGTACCTTCCATTTCATTATTATTATAATTGTCTGAGTCACTTACATCGATTTGGATATCCATTTGCGATGACATTTTAAATAATTTACACTAGATGATATGATATAGGTTTATAATACAAGTTGAAGTTTCAATTTTTTTTAAAATAATAAATTATAGAAATTATAATTAATTATGATATTATACTTAAATTTTCATGTTTATAGTTACATTCATTATATTTAAAAAAGTATTTAAGTAGCAAAAAGGAGCGCGTTATTAGCTATAACTACCAAAAAAGATAGCGAGCTACTTTAACAACTCTGATTCTGAAAAATTTTACAAATTTAAATTTATTTATATTTATTAAGATATACATATATATAAATTAAGTGAATAGTTACTTTCTTAAAAATATAGCCAGCACTATTAATATTTCGTAAATATAAATAGTTATAGTTATTTTTTTAGCAAAAATGTAGCTAGTTAATGGTAACCACTTAATTTAACAACACTATTGTAGAGATTTTCATTTATAAATTTTTTCTTTAGCAGATTTATTTTAGTTCTTAATTATTTTTCTTAAAAATTTTAAATTATAGATGTCACATACGGATAATCCATTCTTTAGTTAAAAGATATTTATCACGAAGCGATTAACCTTTCCTACAATACCTCAATGTGGTATATCAAAATATTTTTATGGCAGTAGGTGTTTATCAATTGAAAACAAAATATGTTATTTTATATAAACGACATTCTCTATCATTATTTTCTCTATTAAAGTTTGTTTTTTCTTTAAATGTTTGTCACCAAAGACTATTCTAGAATGTTTTAAGTAATAAATTGATTATTTTTTTTTAAATTTTATTAATTTTATTTTAAAAATTATGGCTGAATTTATTTTAAGTAGTCGAAACAATCAGTTTTTACTTCTTGATTTTTACTTATTTCAAAAGGAAAAACATTTAACCAAACAACCTATTGTAGATGTGTTGAATTCTACTTGGATGGAAGCAATAAGTGCGCTATAATTAAGAACGGAATACATATATTGCACAATCAAAAGTATAACCATATATCAGACATTGCAGATATTGAAGCAAGAAGAGAGTTAAATAGAATTAAACAAGAGGCTTCTAGTTCCCAATATCTGCCCAAAATATAATGTCTGATATATCTAGCAATATATCCATAGCCGCCACTTAGATGCCCAATTGTTTCTTAATTAAAAAGACAATTCAAAGGATAAGACCAAGTAGGAATAGCGCCAGTCGTTCCCGTGAGCCTGATTCACTTAGTTATACCAATTGAATAACAATTATCCAATAATAATGAGCAATTTTTGTTATATGATAGTGGTCATCATGATCACCGATGCATCATACCTTCAAAAATTTACAATTTTTATCAACATGCGATAAAAGGTATGCAAATAGCACATTCAAGATATGTCCTCCTTTCTTCCGTCAAATATACACCATCCACGGGATGAAACATATAACCATTATCCCCGCTATTTATGTTTTGATGACATGTCGCCAACAAGATTACGTTAATATTTTCAATCAAATTAAAAATTTTCAATTTTTAAATCCTAAATTCATCATGATCGACTTTGAATTAACAGCGTTATCTGCTTTTAAACAGTCATTTCCATTGACTGCAATGCGCGGGTGCCTGTTTCATATGTCGCAATGTATATGGCATATGGTTCAAAAAAATCCGCTAATTTGCAATGCATACAAAACACAAACAAATTTTGCTATATACATAAAATGTTAATGTCACTGGCATAAGGATGTAATTCACGGATTCGAGGAATTATATGCTTCTGAATTCTATCAAGAAAATAGGGATACACTGGCCCAAGAGACATGGAAAATGATAGCGATGGAGAGGAGGTTGCCAATATTTAACATTTCTCTACGGAATCTACAAAACATTTATAGAGAAACTTTTACAGATAAAACAATTATAGAGAATGTCGTCTATAAAGAATTATTTTATGGAGAATTATTTTATAGAGAATGATTTTACAGGGAATGATTTTATAGAGAATTTATTTATAAGAGAATTATTTTATAAAGAATATGATTAATACCACTTGTATATGAAGTTTTTATAAGATTAACATTGTATATCTACTAAATAAGAGCTCAGCAATATTCATTCGAAATATCAAATAAATTTTTATTCATTAGAAATCCAAATAAATATACTATAAAAATATACCAATATAAAAAATACAATTATATGATTAAATTAAACATTTAAATTTATATTGTGGGCTAAAGTCCTTAAATAATCCAGCATGATTCTTGAATGAAAATCTTCAACAATTAGAAAAATTCTTTTGGATCTTTCGCGATATTCTTTCTTTGACAGTGGAGCCAATAGTCCTAAAGAATATTGTTCCAATTTGTAATAATTCAGCTATTGAGAGCTAAGAATGAAAAAGTTTTTAAAATTTATTACATAATATAATTACCAACTCTTTACAAATTTCCAGATCGTTAGATGATGGAAACGACGAAAAACTTCGATACCAGCCCTTTACTAAATTATTGGTATTCATTCGGTTCACAAGATAGTGTCGATTCGTAGCAATTCCAAAGAGAAATGCTAAATATTGGCGACCTCCTCTCCATCGCTATCATTTTTCAAATCCATGTCTCTTGGGCGAAAATATCCCTATTTTCTTGATAGAATTCAGAAGCACATAATTCCTCGAATCCATGAATTACATCTACATGCCAGTGACATTAACATTTTTATGTACATAGCAAAATTTGTTTGTGTTTTGTATTCATTGAAAATTATCGGATTTTTTTGAAACGTGCGCCATATGCATTGCGGCATATGAAATAGGTAACCACGCATTGCAGTCAGTGGAAACGACTGCTGTTAATTCAAAGTCGATCATGATGAATTAAGATTTAAAAAAATTTGAAATTTTTTTATTTGACTGAAAATATCAACGTAATCTTGTTAGCGACGTGATGTCATCAAAACATAAATAGCGGGGATAATAGTTATATGTTTCATCCCGTGGATGGTGTATATTTGATGGAAGAGAGGAGGACATATCTTGAATGTGCCATTTGCAACCTTTTATCGCATGTTGATAAAAATTGTAAATTTTTGATGGTATGATGCATCGGTGATCATGATGACCAGTATCATATAACAAAAATTGCTCATTATTATTGGATAAATGTTATTCAATGGTATAACTAAGTGAATCAGGCTCACGGGAACTGCTGGCGCAATTCCTACTTGGTCTTATCCTTTGAATTGTCTTTTTAATTAAGAAACAATTGGGCATCTAAGTGACGGCTATGTACATATTGCTAGATTTATCAGACATTATATTTTGGGCAGATATTGGGAACTAGAAGCCTCTTGTTTAATTCTATCTAGCTCTCTTCTTTATTTAATATCTGCAATGTCTGGTATATGGTTATGCTTTTGATTGTGGAATATATGTATTCCGTTCTTAGTTATAGCGCGCCTACTGCATTCACCCACGTGGAATTCAATACATCTCCTATAGGTCGTTTGGTTAAATATTTTTCCCTTTGAAATAAGTAAAAAATCAAGAAGTAGAAACTGATTGTTTCGACTATTTAAAATAATTTCAGCCATAATTTAAAAAAAAAATTATCAAAATTTAAAAAACATAAATATTATTACTTAAAATATTCTAAAATGATCTTTGGTGACAAACATTTAAAGAAAAAACAAACTTTAATAGAGAAAATAATGATAGAGAATGTTGTTTATATAAAACTAGCTAAAAATAATCCGTAAAGAATGACGAGGTTGAGGGGTAATTAGTAAGTTTTTCTCCCTACTTTTATGATAGTTGTTACCTGTTATTTGAAAATAATATCTTTTTATTATTTATAACCCCCTCCTCCATCAGGCCAGGTCCTCAGGCCTTCAAAAAAATTTGTTTTAGGTCAATGTCTGATCCATAGTAATAATGGAATTCCCAAGCGTCCAAGCTGATAATAATTTTGAAAAATTTTCCTTAAGCCCAGTCCAATATAATTCATATAAATATTTTCCAAACCCAGCCCCACCCATAATAATTTTAAAAAATTTTTCTCAAACCTGACCAAGGTGTAATAATTTTGAAATTTTTACCTTAAGCCTGGAGATAGGTAAATCTTTAAAAACCATAGTCATTTTTTATTCTTTTTAATCCTGCTCAATCCTACTTCAGACCAAGACCAACTCATTAGGACTAATAGTGAACTATTTTTACTTTTTGAGTAAAAATATATTTAAATTAGCTTTTACCTGAGACCTATATAAATATTATGCCTAATATCTAATATAAAAAAATTCCCAAAAGGTTCATGCTCATAATCATGTTGAGAAAATTTTCTCAAGCCTTCCAAAGGTTATAATAATTTTGGTAGTTAAGAACTGAAATAAAATATGTAAAAGTCATAATTCATTTAAAAATACAATCAGAATATGAAAGTTGCATGAGCTTTAGTTTTTTGATCAGGCCTAGCTATGTCTGCAAAAAAAAATTTCAGGCCAATGTCTAACCCATATTTAAAATTCAAATCTAACATCTCTATTTTAAATTTTATCCAATATGATTTCCATCACAAATTTAAATTTTGATATTTCTAATACTCTTAATGCTCACTGTATTGCAACAATTTTACCTCTTTTTCTTTTAAATTTTAATATTTTTATAAAATTTATTAATAAAATATATTTAGTACCATACACACAAACTAAATAATTACCCTTCAACCCCGTCAGCTAGTATGGTAATAACAGGCGTAACCTTCTGGTGTATTTAATTTTAAGATGAGATTAAGTGGTTTGCCAAGCCCCGGTACCTAACCCCAGTCTCCCCTATTTTGATTAGTAGTCAATATTATGTAAGCGAGATTTTGCGCTAAATGTAAGGAAAGTTTTGATTTCTATCTCTAATCTTACATGTTATTATGGCTAAAATCTTAATCGACCCAAATCGGACGTTTAACAACACTAATGTTGATCCAATAAAATTCAAATTAAGACTGATTCATTTTTTAGATTTATTAAAAATCCTTAAAATAATTCTATTAATCATTTTAAATATATATTATGTTTAACTAATTTTTTCTATTATAAAATAATCAAAAACGAATTAACGCACAAAGGCAATTTCATGGCTGTTTATGATTGGTATTTAGGATTTATTCTAAGAAATCATAGTATCTCCTTTATGTCCAAAATGTTTATTAAATTAACCTAAATTAAGTTTCAATTTTTATATATAATTTGCTTCAATTTATAAGTATTATGATATTTTTAACAATAAAACAATAAAATTATTCTATACGTATCATTATTAATAAATAAAAATGCATTTCAATTTATTATGGCTAAAAAAATCAATGATTTAGGAAGCCCCTTGAATTTGCCTCACCCCGCTATTGGGACTTTTTGGATATTATTTTTACTTTTTCAAATAGTAAAATTTAAAAAAAATGATTATATTCTTAAAATTATTATAAGGTACCTTTATAGAGTATAGTTTTAGGAGGTATCTAATCATATATTATTTTTTATATTATCTAAAAAAATCAGGAGCTAAATTTTATAAAAATCGGTCTAACTAACCCCAGTCTCCCCTACCAATGTGGTAAATTGGTCCAGCAAGGAAATCGGTATAAATATTGGTTGTTTTTTTTATTGATATTACACATTTAGTAAATAAAATTGAGATTTTTGTAAAAAAAAATACGAAGAAATAATTAATATGACCAACATAATCATTTCTATTTAATCATCCTTTTTTTATACTAATAAATTGCAACTGTATTAGATACGCGCCGAATTGACACCGCGCCGAATTGACGTTGCGCCGAGTTGTCGCCGCGCTGAATTGACGATGCGCCGAATTTTCCGCGCCGAATTGACGTGATACCCTGGCCATAATATATTAATTAATAATTTTATTATAAATCAGAAATATTACAATATGAAATACTTGCAATAGACCTATCTTATATATTTTTTCATTTTAGGTATATAAAAATTTAATTATACACTAATTTAATAAGTATAAGCATTAAATTTTTCATCATCCATTTAATGATACTTTATAAATTAATAACTTAATTATCTTTTTGTTAAACAGTTTAATTTCAATATAAGTATTAACATCTAAATTTATCATCATCTATTTAATGATAATATTTTATAAATTAATATCTTAATTATCTTTTTGTTAAACATTCTTATTTCAATATAAAATTAATCACTATCTATTTAATAATTTTATAAATTATTATCTTAACTATCTACATGTTAAAGTGATTTTTAATAATTTAATCATTCATGATGTTTAATAAGCTTAATTAGGCAATTATTAATACACAACAATAATGAAAGCCATTTTATTAATTTATAAATGAAACAATTATAGTATCTTTATTTACATACATAACAAACAAATAAATCATTGTTATTACATTGAGTATGGGTCCATTCTTCACATTGCACTTGCAGGCATTTAATCCACTCTTCACCTTTCTTGCTCTTTGAATATGCCTTCTTGCATATTATGCATAGATTTTTTTTTATTGTTTTTTTAAATATTAGTTAATTTATGTTTTTTATAAGGTGATGAGGTTAAAATTTCTGATTTCTTTCTCCTCTTGTCTTTTTTGATAATATTATTGCTATATAAAATTGGATGTGGTAGAATAGATTGTGAATTCAAATTATTATTGGGCTGATGACATGATGTTAAGCATAACTCATTATCAGAAGTGGTAGTCATAGGGCTAAGAGTGGAATTTATTGTATCATTTTCAGGATCACAATAAGCTAATTTTCCCACTGCCAGAGGAATATTGGATAATTCTGACATATCATCATCATTAGATATTAAATAACTATCTTCAGAGAATATATCAGGGTTGAAGGGATATATCCCACAGGCTAAAAATCCATTCTGAATATTTTTGGGGGTTGTAGCTTTAGGAAGCTCCATTTTATAAAATTGATGGTATTTCATATATGGTAAATGATTTGCCTACTGTCAATGCTGTTATTATAAAAAATTTTAAATGGTCCAAAGACTGATTTATCTAGTGGTAACTTGTGGGAGCAGTGTGGTGGTAGGGTGAGCAGGATTATTCCATTGTCTCTGCAAAAATCTATTGATCTTAGTGAGCAATGTGAACAATGATTGTCTAATATTAATAAATTTTTATTTGTTTTGGATGCTTTTGTTAGTTTGCAAAAATGAGTTAAAAATATCAGGAATTCATTTTCCTGCATCCAGATCCATTTCCAGCACCAATACATCCTGAATGAAGTAAAATATAAATAATAAACATTCTTCTAAAAACCTATAGGGCCATCTCTGATAAACCAATCTTTGTATCGAATTCTTGGAAATAGTAACATAGGAGGAATGCTATTTCCAATTGCATTTATAGCTATAGCAATGGTCACTAAGGATCCTTTTTCACCTGAGGTTAAAAATCCTACCTGTTTCATGCCCTTCTCTGCAATAACTTTACCAGGATCTTGGACAGTGGTTACTCCAGTCTCATCCATATTCCATATGTCTTGTGGTTCAAATTTATATTCATCCATTAGAGATTTTAAATTATCAAAAAAAAATTTGACGTGAGGATTGAAGCCTCGAGCTCTAGCCAAGCTTGTTGCTTCAGGGGTTCTAAGGGCTAATGTAGGATGTCTATTTTTAAACCCTTTGAACCAATCCAAGCCAGCCATTCCATCACGAGTCCAACTTTCTGGAAACTTTAACTCATATTTTTTTGCTAAATCATGTGCCAATATTCTTATCTAATATTTAATAGAGATTAAATTCTTTAAAATATAAATTTTACTTGCTTTATGCCAAAACCCATTAGTGATTTACTAGCCTGAATTATATAATCTTTTAAAAGGTCCTCCTGAGCTTTAGTGAATATTAACCTATTTGAACTCCATCCCATATGAGGATATTCCAAAGTCTCTTTATATTTATTCATAGCTCTTCTTAAAGTCGTTCTAGGAATATTAAATTTATTAGCTATTGATAGTGTTGATTTTTTATTAATGATTATATCAACAATTGCCAGTTTAATTTGTTCATCACTTGAATTTGCACCAAATATTGTTTTGCGCGCCTTTTTCATTTCAATATGAATGTATGATTTTGGCCAGACAATACTCACCTGTATTATTAATAAGCGCCTCTATATGTATTAAATAAAACTTTTAAAGTCTTATTTTTTGTGTGAATACTAAATGCCTAAGGATAATATTTATATAAAATATCAGTAATCTAAATTAGTAATTTTTTCACCAAACAAAAAAAAATGTGTAACGTGATTTTTCCAGAAAGAGGTACCAAAAACATTTTTTATAAAATATTTTTATATTGAATTGCTCTATTCAATAAATGAACTTAGGTAAGGTAAATATCATAAATATACACATTTTGACTAATTTTAAGAGAAATCGGTCCAATAGAAAAAAGTTAAAGGGTGGTGGCCAGTCTTCAAACATGGCCATTTATGGCACTTCTCCCCTACAGCTCCAAATCCTTGGTTAAACTTGTTTTATATACTCTATATGTTCATTTATGATAATGATAAAGGGCACTATCAAAATGATTGATACAGCCTATTTGGATTTCCGTGGATTATAGAATTTGACTTATCGTGATTAATACAGCCTATTTAGATTTCGGTGGATAATTGAATTTTATCGTTACCAACAAGTATAAATATCAATATGAGCAACAATAGATATAAATGATAATGGTAACGTGAATATAATAAAGAAAATAGATTCATCAACAACAAAAGTAACCTGGAGTATTCCAATGGTAGAGGTACGTAAAATTTCAGGTGAACTACGATTATGTGGAGAATAATTCTACCAATGTTTGAAGAATTAATCGCAAAAATCGCTATAGATCTCAAAGATGCATATCTACAAATGAGCATTGACGATGAATCGCAAGAATTATTAACCATCGTAATGTAAAGATAAAGCAATTTATTTAGATTATGTTATAATCACAGGGAAAAATGATACTGAACATATAGAGAATATAAAAAAGTTTAACCAAGGATTTGGAGCTGTAGGGGAGAAGTTCCATAAATGGCCATGTTTGTTTTTTTCTATTGGACCGATTTCTCTCAAAATTAGTCAAAATATGTATATTTATGATATTTACCTTACCTAAGTTCATTTATTGAATAGAGCAATTCAATATAAAAATATTTTATAAAAAATGTTTTTGGTACCTCTTTCTGGAAAAATCACGTTACACATTTTTTTTTGTTTGGTGAAAAAATTACTGATATTTTATATAAATATTATCCTTAGGCATTTAGCATTATTCACACAAAAAATAAGACTTTAAAAGTTTTATTTAATAGACATATAGTGGCGCTTATTAATAATACAGGTGAGTATTGTCTGGCCAGGCATTGACTGGCCAAAATCATACATTCATATTGAAATGAAAAAGGCGCGCAAAACAATATTTGGTGCAAATTCAAGTGATGAACAAATTAAACTGGCAATTGTTGATATAATCATTAATAAAAAATCAACACTATCAATAGCTAATAAATTTAATATTCCTAGAACGACTTTAAGAAGAGCTATGAATAAATATAAAGAGACTTTGGAATATCCTCATATGGGATGGAGTTCAAATAGGTTAATATTCACTAAAGCTCAGGAGGACCTTTTAAAAGATTATATAATTCAGGCTAGTAAATCACTAATGGGTTTTGGCATAAAGCAAGTAAAATTTATATTTTAAAGAATTTAATTCTCTATTAAATATTAGATAAGAATATTGGCACATGATTTAGCAAAAAATTATGAGTTAAAGTTTCCAGAAAGTTGGACTCGTGATGGAATGGCTGGCTTGGATTGGTTCAAAGGGTTTGAAAATAGACATCCTACATTAGCCCTTAGAACCCCTGAAGCAACAAGCTTGGCTAGAGCTCGAGGCTTCAATTCTCACGTCAAATTTTTTTTTGATAATTTAAAATCTCTAATGGATGAATATAAATTTGAACCACAAGACATATGGAGTAACCACTGTCCAAGATCCTGGTAAAGTTATTGCAGAGAAGGGCATGAAACAGGTAGGATTTTTAACCTCAGGTGAAAGAGGATCCTTAGTGACCATTGCTATAGCTATAAATGCAATTGGAAATAGCATTCCTCCTATGTTACTATTTCCAAGAATTCGATACAAAGATTGGTTTATCAGAGATGGCCCTATAGGTTTTTATAAGAATGTTTATTATTTATATTTTACTTCATTCAGGTTGTATTGGTGTTGGAAATGGATCTGGATGCAGGAAAATGAATTCCTGATATTTTTAACTCATTTTTGCAAACTAACAAAAGCATCCAAAACAAATAAAAATTTATTAATATTAGACAATCATTGTTCACATTGCTCACTAAGATCAATAGATTTTTGCAGAGACAATGGAATAATCCTGCTCATCCTACCACCACACTGCTCCCACAAGTTACCACTAGATAAATCAGTCTTTGGACCATTTAAAATTTTTTATAATAACAGCATTGACAGTAGGCAAATCATTTACCATATATGAAATACCATCAATTTTATAAAATGGAGCTTCCTAAAGCTACAACCCCCAAAAATATTCAGAATGGATTTTTAGCCTGTGGGATATATCCCTTCAACCCTGATATATTCTCTGAAGATAGTTATTTAATATCTAATGATGATGATATGTCAGAATTATCCAATATTCCTCTGGCAGTGGGAAAATTAGCTTATTGTGATCCTGAAAATGATACAATAAATTCCACTCTTAGCCCTATGACTACCACTTCTGATAATGAGTTATGCTTAACATCATGTCATCAGCCCAATAATAATTTGAATTCACAATCTATTCTACCACATCCAATTTTATATAGCAATAATATTATCAAAAAAGACAAGAGGAGAAAGAAA